CCGCCGCCGGCTCCGCGCCGCATCGCTGGGTGCAGCGCAGCGCAGAGCCGCGGCCCTTCGGCAGCCGAGCAACAGCGGCAGGTGAGTCCCGGACCTGAACGCTTGGAGAAGGGCTTTGCTGGGAAGCTGGATGCAGGGTGAGAGGGGGTCACCCCCCTTCCAGCCTTGTACCCCCTACGCTTCCCCTTTGGATGCATAGGGCAGGCCGAAGTGCTGTGGAGATGGGGAGTCGAGGTGACCTTACCTGTTCGCGGCTGGAGAAGAGCGCCTGGCCTTCCCAGAGCCCCCAGCTCCCATTGCCCCCCTCCTTGGCTCCTGTAGAGGAAACCCGGGTCTTAGGTGACGTCAGACCCTAGATTCTGCAGACTGGGCCTTGGGCCCTCCATCACCCCTTCCCCCAGCTCCACCTGGCGTTCCCTGGAAACCGGCCTCCTCCTCCCCGATGGCCCACGCGGCTAGGATGGGGGCGGCCGGGGATGGGGGCGACTGGAGTCGAGGTGGCTGTGGCTTCCTTTGAGTCCTTCCTCCCATGAGGCACCTGCAGGTGGACCCAGGTTGCACTCCTCCCTCGCCTCCTCGGGCGCCGACCTTTGGACGCAGGTCTGAGCCACCTCAGTGGTGCGGGGGATGGGTGCCTTGGCTTGAGCCTGGGCTCCGACGGGGCTTCAGGGTGATGAGTTAGGGGCGCCGGATGTAGCTCATTTTTGTGCTGGCAGGAGTCGGTCACGAGGATGGGGGTGAGGTGTTTGGGTGCCCATCCCTATATCTGCTTCTGGGAGCTTCTGGTCCTTGGTTTGGAGGAGCCAAGTAGAGACTGAGATTGAGAATTCGCCATCTCAGGCGGTTGAAACCGGTAATGCCCAGGCTCTAGGTTGGGAAGTCAGCGAGGTTAATCATACTTTTCCAGAGACACAAGGGAAGGGAGGAGAAAACCAGGGAATAGGAGACTTCCTGGAACGGATGAAATTTAAGTGGGAAGAGAGGTGAGAGAGGGCATCCCAGTACCATGGCCAAAGAAGAGGAGCAGGGAATTAAGCACAGCTGGTGGGGTACATCGCCAGCCAGCCCAATCCTGTGACTGCTCCTGGGGTGGGGGTTCTGGAGAATTTTGTAGTCTGTGCACTACCTGTTCTGCCTCCACTGAGGAGGGCACTGCAGGAAGAAGCTGGTTCTGACAGGGGCATGACTGGCTGGCAGAGAGGTTTTGTTTGGAGCTACACCAGTCTTGTTGAGAATTGATGGGGACCTGTAAGCTGAAGGCCGTCTCTAGAACAGAGTGGTCTGCCTCTGATGAATGGGCCCAAGGATAGTGCAGTAAACCCTGGGAGAGCCAGGGGAGTCCTGCAGGGGAGCTCTGGATGGGCCCTTGGGCTCTGTAGCTGTTTCTTTAACCCTTTACCTGGCTGGCTTGCTGGCCAAAGTTGATTCCTCTCTCTGGGTAGCTCTTTGCCAGCACCTTTCTCTAGGGATGAAATAATAGGATTAAGTATTGACCTCCCTTGAGGAAGCTTGTTCTAGTTTAGAGCCTCCCTCCTGGTTCTTCTCTTCCTTTTCCTTTCCTCTCCCCTCCCCCTGCCTCCTTCTCTGTCTTCCCGACTCTACCCCTTCCTTCCCCACAGCATTTCCTCACTGACTGCACTTCCTTCCTTACTCCCAGCCTAGAGTCTCTGAAGGGTTCCAGGAGGAAGTGTGGTACAGCAGGGTTGACAGAAGCTTAGCCTGACTGGGGGAGCACATCAGTTGCTCCACTCCCACCCCTTGGGAGGGTGTCCAGGTTTTAAGTAGGAATGTGGATTGACTGTGCTCTGTACCTTGCCCTGTGCTGGGAATCTCCTAGAAGCCCCATCTATAAGGATGTGAAGAAGAGACTGGATGAAAAAGAGTGAGCACTTGATGCCCAGTAACTGCAGAATGTAAGCAGTGGGGTGCAAAGCACAGATGTCTGGAAAGGCTTCCCACAAAAAGTACTCTGAGAAAACAGGACTTAGAGGAGCTGATAGGGTATAGTTTAGGGACACTGGAAATAGATGGGTGTCTAGCCCTGGCGACCTGCATGAATCTGGGTTGTATGGGAAGCCGGTCAGCCCATGGTAGAGAAGCAGGGTGGCAGTGAGGGAGGTCTGTATCTGATTGACACAAGGCCTTGCATACTAAACACAGGATCAGTAGGGTCTACTGGAGAGTCGTTGTCAGGCCAGCCATAGCAGTGCCTGGGGAGTGCTGCTTTGTGAGGAGGATTCATAGTTCGGGGACTTCAGGGCTGGGGAATGAGATACAGTGACAAGAGATAGAGCAGAGGGGGAACTTCCATGTTGGCAGACATGCTCTGGGCAGGCAGGAAAAAGATGACCATGTTTATGCTTTAGGATGAGAGGCTAAACAGGGGAGGAGAGAGGGCGAGTGAGCAGGGACCTAAAACTAGCTTCAGCTCCCTGGCTTGATCTGAGGCCAGGTTGGGCTTCTTTCTCTTTGCTGTGAACCTCTCACTCGCTCCACTGTGGGCACTTTTGTACCCCCAGTTTCACTGCAAGAAATGGAATGCATTATAGTCTGGATTTTTGAATACAATTCAGGTAGCATTAGTTATCAGATAGCTAAGGAGAGGTCCTTAGGCTTATTATCTTTGGGGAGAAGTTTAGCACCTCCTAAACTCCCCAGCACTCTGCAATACTCTCAATTAGGGAACAAATTACTATTTCTTCCATTTTGCAGTCTAAGAATGTTGGGCTGAAGAAGCCAATTACCAACCCCGCCTCACACCCCAGTAGTATACTGGCTTACCCTGAAATAAGGTCAGAGTTGAAATAAGGTGAGTCCCCCTGGGAGTCCCCCTGCAGCAACCCCCCCCCCCCACATCCCCCAAGGCCAGCTTCCCTCTGGGCTATCTTCATATGCAGACCGCACAGTCCTTCCTTGTGCTCTGGCCCTGAGCTCCAATTTCTACTCGTCCATCCTTTGCTACACTGACTTCTCTGTAACTGTGGGTACAAATTTGGGACACAGCCTGGTACCAGGGCAGGGATCAGACTGGAGCCAGGAATCGAGTCTTTTTCTTTGAGGCTCCTACAATCTACTGTCTACCTGGCTTCCCATCCTTGTTATTCTGGAGGACTTTAGTGCTGTACCACAGGCTTCTACTCTCCATCCCAGTCTCACGGAGGCAATGCCTTCCTCAGCCATCCTTTCTACCAGCCATGCCTAACTGGTCATCACTGGCCTGCGGCCATCTCTGAAATCTTAAACTCCAATATCCTTTTCTCTCTGACAATAGCCCAATTTTTATTTTACCTGTTTGTGATCTCAAGGAGATCTCTAGTTTCTTGCCACCTCCATTTTCTCTGTCTCACGAACATCAAACATCGCATTTTTTGAGTCCTTCCTGGACTGCATGGTCCAGTATTTTAACCACTTTCTGGCCCATGCCCTCACTTTGCCTGTGTGTCCCACCCCCTCCCACTGGGGAATTCTGCACTCAGAATGTGGAGGGCTTCTGGGCCAGCACCTACCAGGCTGTCTGGTTCTGCTTTTATGTGGAGTCTTCAGTCTCACCTGTTCCTCCATCGCGTCTAGAGACCCTCTGTTCCCATCTGCTCCCCATTCCATTCCATGGGAGGAATATTCCAAACTGGGCCCTTTTCTAAAGGCCTTTGCTCACAAAGAGGGTGGTTGGAGGTCTGTGTGTGTCTGTGTGTGTGGATGTACGCTCATGCTCGTGTGCGCTGGCAGGGCTGGGGATGGGGGGTGGTGATCATTGAAACTACACTGAAGTTTCTCCACTTTTCAATTCCTCCTAAAAGGAGGGCTCATCATCTCATGTGCCTCTCCATTGTGGGGGCCGGCTCCACCTGTCTTCTGAGGTACCAGTGCCCATCAGCTGATCTGCTTCTTCTTTGTTCCTTAGAACGGCCCGCAGGAGAAAACCAGGGAATAGGAGACTTCCTGGAA